GCGCAAAGCCTCCTCCTGCCCTACCCCTGCCCTGTGAGGAGCCTTCAAAGTGCCACGTGCTGCTCGCAGGGCAGGAGGAGATGTCATGCGCTCCAGGCCTTAATTGGCTTGGGTGCGGGGGAGCAGCAGGGCCTCCGCAGGCTGGATCCACCCGCTTGGCAGGCTGGATCCAGCCCAGGAGGCCCTTTTGCCCACCCCTGATCTACAACCTATCCTGGAAATTGACCCCTGATTCTCACAAGCCTTGGAAGACAGGCCAATCCTCGCCTACAGACAACACTCCACCTCAAATTCTTTCCAGTAGCCAATTCTGACCACACATCCATACAAGCGATATCATCACAGGACCTAACCATATCAGCCACCACATCAGAGGCTCAATTAACTGCACATCCACTAATGTGATCTATGCCATCAAATGCCAGCAATGCCCCTCTGCCATGTATATTGGCCAAACTGGACAATCTCTACAGGAAAGAATTAATGGACATAAATCAGATATCCAAAAAGGCAACACACAGAAACCTGTTGGGGAAAATGTTAACTTGCCCAGGCACTCATTAATGGGTCTAAAAGTCACCATATTGTTTCTGGCTAATTCCACAAGCCAACTACATAGGAAAGCCTTAGAAGTTTACAGGTTAGATTCCTATCAAAAAGGTATGAATAAAGACATTGGCTGGATGGCCCACTACAGTCCACATCCTAATGACACACAATACTAAACAATGGGTACTTAAGAACAATTTGTGCCTTCTCTATCAGCTTCATGTAGCACTGACACTCTATTTCTTTCCCTTTTTTTCCTCCTCTCTTCCTCCCATCCTCTATTTATTTAGAAACTGGACCTTTAATAAATCCATTCATCTGAAAAAGTGGGTTATGCCCATGAAAGCTCATGATACCATCTACATGTTTTGTTCGTCTTTAATAGCTGCAAGACTATTAGTTGTTTTTAAATTTAATAACAGTTTATGTTTGCCACATGTGAACAGGCTGCGGCCTCTCAACTACGCCCTCAATGGCAGGGGCCTATGCAGACAGATGCACTGTCACTGCTGCCCTCTTCTTAAATCAAACTTCCAAACAAAGCTTTCTCTGATTCAGTCACTCTCCCCTCCACTGAGGATCTCCCAGGCCTTCCTTCAGTCAGGGTTCTCTGCTATAACTTACTCGCTCCAGCTGTCTTTGTCCCTGAACATCTCTTCTCTTTCACTGACAGCTTCCTGGTACTAGCAGTTCTTCCATACCCAGCTAGTTCTACTAATTAAACCTCACATCTCATACCAAGAGTGGCAGGCAGGGCTAATTGCATGAGGTTCCCCAAGGGAGATGGCTACTATTACACAGCTAAATCACACCAAATCATACATTACACAATTCTGTAGTTTTTTTGAGAAGAGGGTTCTACCAGCGTTTTGCTCACACTTTATTACTGCCATCAAAACGCAAGGTTCTAACTTTATCTAATGCACACAGTTTGGCTGCACCTCATTTGTTTTTGTAAATGTAGAAACCAGAAGGAAAGATCTGGCCATACTTCCTGCCTGTAAGCAGCTGAGCTGGTCACAGACATTACAAAATTTCTGTCTCATACAGGAGTTTTCTGGGGACATGGGATGAACTTTTACAGTGAGGAAAATAATGGTTACATGTGTCACTCCAGGAAGTGATTTCACCAATGTGATGACAGTACTGCCAAACACTAGTTTGTAATCACCATGGCATCGCTGTTAGCCATCTTCAAAGTAATTTTAGTATAGGGATTCAAATACTGTAATTAGAATCAGAGCTAAGCAAACTCAGGAGACTTTTATATGGCATATTCTAATATGAAATTGCAAAAGCCAGGCCAAAACAGCTCTGGGGAAATATTTTAAGGATCTATTTGATTTGGTTAACAATGTCAACAACATTCAGAGCAGATTCATGCCCTCCTTCCCCCCCTCCAAAAAAAATTAGTGAGAACAGGAATAAGACCCTTTGAAAAGGTAAGAACAAGGTAGAACTGTCACAACCCACACTTCCATAGAGTCTATACATTCTATTTGAACTAGGGATGTAATAGTGTAGTCAATTAACCAATAAGCAAAAGCTATAGACTACATGCATTTCCCACCTCCTGCCCCGCCAGTAAAATTTTTAGCAGTCTGGCTCAGTCCTGGCTTGAAATGGGTCCGGGACTTACCTCTGCTGTGGCTCTGCATTTAAAGTGTATTAGGAGCCAGGTGGGCAGGCAGCCCAGCTCAGTTCCAGCTCACAATGGGTCCGGGAACTCGGATCCCCCCAGATGGGGGCTGCTGCCACCCCATGCTACTTTTTCTTTATCAGAGGTAGCAGCACAGGGGGACAGGCAGCTGGTATGCGAGGGGAGCTGTTTTTTAAACTGGCTCTTCTCATGGACCAGCTCCTGCCTGGCACCCTGCACTGCTGCCTCTGATACAGAGGCAGCAACATGGAGTGGTAGAGGGCTCCTCAGGCATGAGGATGGAGCACACTAGCTGCTGGCCCCGCTCCCAGGGACTACAGAATAGTCGACTAACCGATAAGAATTCTTGAGGTTACTCAACTATTCAATTAACTGATATTTAACATCCCTAATTTGGACAAGTAATTTGTGTTCCATTAACAGGGTAAGAGGAGATAGAACTAGGTTCATATGGGGCATCTTCCTCTAACCACTAGAATATAGGCTCTCAGGTCTGGTAGAAAAGAGGTTTTCACACCCTCTACCAACTTACCAAAACTATACATTATCTTCAAGCTGCTTCCTAAGCTGAACTTCATGTCACAACAGGGACTATTTCTTTTTGTTTAAATGCCACAAAAAGGGATAAAAAGAAAGGGGTTACCCCAAACAGTAATTAGTAGTGTATTTAACAGTCCAGTCCAAAAAGGTTATCAAAGCACAGGAGTCTCTATGCAAAATGGGTTTCAATAGAAAAAAAGCCCCTAATCAAGAATCCTGGTACTCATCCAAATCCAATTCTTTTAAGTCCTATGGGAACTCGGCAGATCAAGACAATTCTCTCTTGAAACATCAGCTTGTTCCTTAGGGCTTCCTGGCCTCAACCCACAAGCCTGTTCTCCCAAGCAGAAGGGATTCTGATTGTATTTGCTAGTCCAAACCCAGAAAGGAAAATAAACTACTGCGGACATTTACACATTTCGACAAAACATAAAAGTCCGGTTCCAGAAACGGCTGAGGCTGAAAATTAGGGCTGGGAGCCATAGAGAAAGCAGGGAGCCTTATTTTGTTCCGAGCCCCATGCCCTCCACAGCCTCAGAGGAGAGCGATGCAGGATGTGGGCAGAAGGGGCTCTTGTTGCTTTTCTCCAACTCCCGTCCCCCCCACAAGGCCACGTGGAAACCCTCCCTGCTCCGACCCCACACAGCAGGGCAGACACAAGGGGAGAGGGATAGGCGGATCCTAGGAGTTTGCTCTCCCCCAAACTTCCAAGAGACACAGCAAAGCCCTGAGCGCTCACCACTTCCACAGGAGAAAGATTCCAGCTCCAGCCTCTGCCACTTCCCACGCGGGGCACAGGAACCCTCTGTCCCACTCCTAGAGCCACTGGCTCGGGCTAGCGCGACTCGAGTCCCAGCCTCTTACCCTGCCCCTCGGTGCTCCATCCGAACCATTACAACCAAGCTCGGGCCAACACCCTATTGGCTGTAGGGTCACGTGGCCTGAAGAGCTCCTCCAATCAGCTCTGGTAAAATATTGCTCCTGGAACGTTTGGAAACTTTTGTCTTTCAAAGGGGTTTTTTTTTTAACTTTTCAGTTGTACTTGCAGTCGGGCCGGGGGGCAGCGGCAGTGAGATGAGATAAGGCTGAGAGCTCAGGGCATGACGCAGCACAGCCCCAAGGATCTCATGCGCACCTCCCCCGGTTTAAGGAGCTCGATGTCCTGCGCAAGCAATGTATCGCCTGGGAGACTCCAGCTTTCCTCCTCTTGTTATTGGTGCAATATTTATTTTAGACCATCCATACGCGTGCTTGGGGCTTGCTTCACCGAAGACATAAGAAGACATGGGTGCTAATGCCGCAAATTGCCATATATCCGTGATTAATTTTTAACTGACCAAAATTAAGCACTCGCATTAGTGTTTGCAAGCTCTGTAGTGCGAGGAGAGTCTAAATAGCCTCCGCTCATAATTTTAGAAACTGTATTTTCCCACACTCCCATAATTTTAAGAAATAAAGTTTTCCTCACGCTTTGGTTATTTAAAAATCATGTTTGGTCGGACTTGTGAGTTTTAACGAAAGCTTACCTCAGTATGTAGCCTTCACTATTTTAAATGCCATAAAAGTACACAATGTATACATTAAAGATACTCACTTTGTGCCATACTTCTCTCACTGAAGTGAACAGTACTAAGATTAGGTTCACTATGAGACATTAGAATGCAGCATTTACTTACATCTCATTTTTGATTACATGTCTCCACAAAGTACACAAGAAACCACAGTAGGACTAAACAGAACCTATGAGTGATGTGAGCACCCCATAATGGTGTTTTGTATCTCCAGGATGCTGAGTACAAGAATGTTCACCACAGCAGTAAGCCTGATCCAAAAGTCTAATGAAGACTCTATGACTTGATGTTAGTGGAATTTGAATCCAGTTCCTTTGGCTTAGTAATTAATAGGGATAAGACATACTCAGTATTGCTCAAGAACCATAGGTGTGTGTCTATACTATAATGCATACAAATACCTGCTCAGTAGGTGTGTCTGGTATTTGCTTCCTGAAGGATTCAGAACCACAAATTACTACTTTAGTGAGTGATAGAACCCACATACGTCACTGAGTATCTTATTATTAAGATATAAAGATTATTATAAATCAGACAGAAATGATAACACATAAAATAGGAAGTGAGGAAACAGACTGACAGAACCAGACAAGTACCCAGAAATCAACTACTTCAAGACAGGTCCAACAAATAAAATAATAGAACACCACTGGTTATCACCTAAGCCCCCAGCTTAAATCTCTCCAGTGCACCATTGACAATCTACAATTTATCCTCGAAAATGATCCCCCACTCTCAAAGACCTAGGAAGACAAACACCCCTCCCCCAACCTGAAGCAAATCCTGTCCAGCCACCACACATCACACCTCAAATACACTTACCCAGGAACACCCCTGCAACAAACCCTGTTGCCAACTCTGTCCATATATCTATACAAGCGACACCATCACAAGACCTAACCACATAAACCACATCATCAAGAGCTCATACAACTGCACAACTTCGAATGTGATATATGCCATCAAGTGTTAGCAATGCCCCTCTGCCATGTATATTGGCCAAACAGAACAGTCTCTATGACAAAGAAAAATTGATACAAATCAGATATCAGAAATGGTAACACACATAAACTTGTAGGGGAACATTTTAACCTGCCTGGTTACACAATCATGAATTTAAAAATAGTCATTCTTTTACAAAGAAATTCACCATCCAATTACAGAGAAATGTTGCATTATAAAGCCAATCTCCCCTGCCGTTAACAGCTGCATTTTTACATCAAAAACTAAGAATGGGACACTTCCAGACCACTTAACTAGCACTGGTCTTACAATTAACAGATACTTTTTTTTTTGCTGTTATATATATCTTGGTTTCTGTTATTTCCACTGCAGCTCATCTAATGAAGTGGGTTTTACCCACGAAAGCTCATGATACTATATTTTTGTTAGTCTTTATGGTGCTGCACGACTACTCGTATTATCTTATTATTAGTTATTGTGCACATCCAACTGCCAGTTTAACAAGAAACCCGATGATGGGCACCCACATACATAAGCAGAAGACAGAGGACTTTGTCCTATTCCCATTGTTTTCAAAAATGCAAGTTCAGGCTCTGATTCCATTCATTTAAATGAGAGTTAGGTACCTATATATCTTTGAGGATCTGGGCTTGAGTCCTTAGAACCCAATCCTATAAAGACTTAGACACTTGCATTATTATAACTCCAACAGGAGTGCCTACATACTTAGAGTCTTTGGGGGATCGGGCCATTTGATGTGGCAGTTCATGTTTTTGTAGAAGATTCAGATATTAAAGGGACACTCAACAGCTCAACTTCATTGCATCCGACAAAGTGGGTCTTTACCCACAAAAGCTTACACTCCAATAAATGTTAGTCTATAAGGGGCCACAGGACTCTTTGTCGTATTTGCAGATTCAGACTAACACGGCTACCCCTCTGATATTCAACAGCTAAAATATCTACAACTGAGAAGTTAACAAAGCACTTTTGGAATCAGATCCTCAGCAGGTGTAAATGGGAGCTGTTATTTTGACATGAATGGAGCATCCCCCATTTATACCAGTTCAAGTTCTGACCCTGTGTTGTTTTTCTTGTTTGATTACTCTATGAATTTAACAGGATTTATAGTATATGATCATTTTGTGTATTTCACCTGTAGCTAGAAGATTATAAACATCTACAGATTTGGAGGGAAAAAAATCTCCCTACAATTATAAGTTTAGGGATGTTAGACAGTGAATAACTGAACAGTCATTTAACCACACAAAATATTATCGGTTCCATGACTATTCAATAGTCCCCAGGGGGTAGGACCAGCAGCCAGTGCGCTCCTGGCCCCATTCCCGAGGAGCATCCTGCCACCCTGCGCTGCTGCCTCTCTGTCAGAGGCAGCACTGCAGGGTGGCAGGCAGGAACCGGTCCATGAGGGGAGCTAGTTTAAAAATCGGCGCCTCGCACAGACTGGTTCCTGCCTGCCACCACGCTCTGCTGATTCTGCTATAGAGGCAGCAGCATGGGGTGGCAGAAGCCCCTCTCTATGGGGGATCTGAACTCCCTCAGACAGAGGCTGTCCTGGCATCCATGAAGCAGTCTCTGTCCACGGTGAGCCTGGGCCAGCTGCGGACAGAGGCTGCTCCGTGGCAGCATCCCCTGCCCAGGTGGCTTCATGGAGCCGGCACTGAAAGAGAGCCATCTTAAAAGCTGAACTCCCTATTGCACCGGCTACCGTTCTCCACCCCCGACCCCATTGCCACCTCTGGTACAGCGGCAGCAATGGGAGGGAAATGCATGTAGTTGATAAGAATAACCAATAAGGCTTATAGCTTAACCGTATATTCAACTGCAGGTTGGCATACCTATATAAGTTTTGGTTTTTTAAAGGAAATCTGAACACACAGCTACAAGATGTTGTACTAGCTCTGGAAGTTTATAAAATTAGTAATTTTTTCAAAAAACCAAATTGACAGTACTCCTTAATTCTACCCATAACTTACTAAAAATGTTTGGTTTTTTGGATAAGTTAAGAAAACAGACCAGACTCCATTTGACAATGATCTATATCCTGCAAACAGACATGCTTAAATTGAATAAAGTTGAGCATATACATATATGTTTGCAAGATTGGGATCAATGTCCAATATTCTGCTGGTTTTTAATATTAATTAGTTACCATTTGTACAGTATTGTTAAGACTTTAAGAATAACTTGTATGAATATTAAAACATTAAAATTTTAAATTTCATGTTAAATAGGTTGAATTTTGATGAGTTTCACAATAAGCTTTTTATAGCAAGATTTAGATTTCAGAAGCTAAGCTGTTGAAATGATTATCCAGTTCCAAAACAGAAGAATGGGTTCCTAGTCAAAGACTGGGTCTCCTCTCCTAAGCACTTCTTCCATACAAATAATAACAAATAATAATGGTTATTGTAATTGCCTCGTTTGTAAGAAGACTACCAAAATCTGAAACAAAAGACAGGACTATGCAGCACTTTAAAGACTAACAAGATGGTTTTTAGGTGATGAGCTTTTGTGGGTCAGACATACTTCCTCAGATCAAATTGTGGAAGAAAATTGGCATGACCATATATACCAAAGGGATACAATCAAAAAAGTGAACACATGTACAATAGACAAATCAGATTTTAGAATAGAGGAAGGATGGGGGGAGGGGAGGGGAGTGTCTATGAGATAATGATAGTAGAGGTGATAACTGGGGAAGCTATCTTTGTAATGGGTAAGATAATAAGCATCTTTGTTAAGGCCTTAACAATTATCTTACTACTTACTATCCTTTGAGGTAATTGAAGGCTGCACTCAAATCCCCCTTCACTCTTCTCTTCTGCCAACTTAATAGACCCAAATCCCTCAGCCTCTCCTTGTAGGTCATAGAGATGAAGCTGTGTTAGTCTGGTCTTGTTCACTTTTTTGATTGTATCCATTTGGTATTTATGGTCATGCCAATTTTCTTCCAAAAATTTGATCTGAGGAAGTGGGTCTGGCCCATGAAATCTTATCACCTAATAAACCATCTTGTTAGTCTTTAAAGTGCTGCATAGTCCTGTTTTTTGTTTCAGCCAGCCCAGACTAACACAGCTACATCTCTATTACTATTCTACAAAAATCTGTCTGTTTTTCAATTAACAGAGAAGTGGAAATGATTAAATCTATGACAATGAATTTATTTTTATTTTCTCTAATGAATAAATATTGTTTTGTTGTGCTTGGGTTTACTTGCTGTATATTTTTACATTGACTTTCCCATAAACTTGTGACATAATATCTTCTTAATCCATTTTACCCAGATAAGACTGGACCAACTTCCTGAAAAGTGATCTTAAGTGTC